AAAATGAAAGGATGAGACACAACCATGCAATGAGTATAAATGACTCAATTATTATCTGCTCTACTTCCCTCTCTGGAGACCCCCACCTTCCCCTGACTTGGACAGTCATTTAGATGAGGAATATGGGAGATAAAACAGGAAACAACCTGGCTCAGGTTAGAGAGCTTTGTATGTGGTGTCTACCGACTTAAATCCCAGTTACATCCTTAGGTGCAAAATGAGACTCTGGCACCTGCCTCATGGGGTTGTGATGCAGACAGAAGGGCCAACGTGCAGGACACCCACACAGTGCCTGGCTTACAGCAAGTCTCCAATAACTGGGGAGAAAAGCTGATGAAGAGTAAGATTTCATGGCCCAGTTATGGGGGAACCGGTCTCACCTGGGAGACCTGAGGGACCTGACATTTATAGGCGCCAACAGCAGCCGTAGACTGGGAACTACACTAAAGAAACATTCCAGCAGGGGAAATTCCTCTGGGGCAAGTTCCTTAGAAGTTTCCAAAGTGAAAATCAAGACTGAGACAACAATAACCACAATCAAACATATGTAACCTGATCAGAACTGCTGATAAAAGCAGTACAAACTATTCATTGATTCTCAGCAGATAAGGGGAGATGGACACAGAGAGACACAGAAGACTCTAGTCCATTGCTATGGAATTTCCAGAAGGTCTCGCCTCAACTGCTTCCTTAGTTTGAACAGAAAGGAGAAGTTGGTGAGACGAGCAAAATAATGTGGCTTCCCAAGTGGCCAGCTGCATTACCGGGACACTGGGTGGCATCTATTTTTCTCAGGCTATGGTGAGGCTTTATAATTCAGGGGCTTGGGACATTAGGCAAATGAAGAAGAATGATGCTGTCTCTTTGTGTAGGGCTTTATCTTTCCAAGGCATTACGTATCCATCTCTCGCCAGGTGAAGTTAGAGGTCCCTTCACAGAGGACACTCAGAGACATTGAGTGGTGAAGTTAGAGGTCCCTTCACAGAGGACACTCAGAGATATTGAGTGACTTGCGTAAAGCCACATAGAAGGTTACAAGGGCAGTGTGACTAGAACCCCATTCACTCACACCTACCCTTAGCTTTGCACAAGCTCACACACTACTCGAACTTCCTGGGGGTGAGGCGACCCAGGAACTCCCAGAGTAAAAGCAAATCTGGGAGGTGATCCAGAAGTGCTCAGAGGTAACAATCAACATTCCTTTTTGGGAAAAAAAAAATTAAAAAAACCCAAAGCAGCTCGGCCCCTGTGGCTCAAGTGGCTAAGGCACCAGCCACATACACCTAAGTTGGCGGGTTTGAATCCAGCCTGGGCCCGCCAAACAACGATGGCTGCAACCAAAAAAAAAATAGCGGGGCGTTGTGGTGGGCGCCTGTGGTCCCAGCTACTTGGGAGGCTGAGGCAGGAGATTCGCTTGAGCCCAGGAGTTAGAGGTTGCTGTGAGCTGTGATGCCACAGCACTCTACCCAGGGGGATAGCTTGAGGCTCTGTCTCAAAAAAAAAAAAAAAATCCAAAGCTGAAATACCTAGAACAGTGTTTTTCAACCTTTTATATCTCATGGCACACTGGACCTATAGTTAATCTTCCATGGCATACTTATGTTATGTTGATGAAAAAAAGGGTAAAAAAAAGAATATACTTACCATGCTTTGAACTTCTTCTGAAAATAATTTAATCAATGATCTTTAACAATCTTTGCAGCACAGCAGCATGCCACGGCACACAGGTCGAAAATCACTGCCCTAGAAACACCACCTCCAGAGTCCTCGATATGGGGTAATCTTCCTGGTAACAAGCAGAACCTCCACCCAGGGACGCTGTGAGATTACAAAGCACTCACAGAAGCTCTTTGCCTCATTTCTTCCACTCTTGTCCCAGTCCACTCAGCTACCCTAGTGATCCTTTGAAGAGTAAAAGCTGGTGTGCCTTCATGCCTATGCCCAACGTAGGGCCCCTTGCCTGGAATGCCATCCCTGCACCCTCTCTTTTTACCTCTGTCCTGGCACGCTTTGACATAGAGCCCTGATCACACTGTGTGCAAGTGAGCACTCTGTCTTCCTGTGGGCAGACCTGAGCTCCTTGAGGACAGGGACTCCATCTTATCATGGTTCAGGGTTCACTAGTTACATGAATTCATGAATTAACAAATGAATGAGTGCAGTAGCATTAGTTCACTCTGTCATTTCTGCTGGAGTATGTTTATGGATGTTCACGTTTTCTTTTTGTTTTGAGGAAAGTCTCACTCTGTTGCCCAGGCTAGAGTGCAGTGGTGTCATCATAGCTCACAGCAACCTCAAGCTCCTGGGCTCAAGTGATTCTCCTTTCTCAGCCTCCTGAGTAGCTAGGACTACAGGTGCTCACTGCCATACCCAGTTAATTTTTCTATTTTTTATAAACACGGGGATCTCACTGTGCTGTTCAAGTTGGTCTCAAATTCCTGGCCTCAAGTGATCCTCCCGCCTTAGCTTTCCAAAGTACAGGCATTACAAGTATGAGCCACCATGAATGGCTAAGTATATGTTTTCTCATCTGTTCCTTGTATCAACTTCCTTGTATATCATTAACCCCATCGTGTGAATGATAAAAATTAAGATCAGAAGTCAAACAGCCTTAGTTCACAGAGCTAGTTAAATTGGAGAGCTAAATAACCAGGTTTTCTTCTTTTCTAACATATGTACACACTCCATGGCATAATGCCTCCTTTAGGCACTGCTTTGGCTGTGTCCTACAAACTTTGATAAGTTATGCTTTCATTTTCATTTACTTCAAAGTATTTTTTTTTTTAGAGACAGAGTCTCACTTTATCACCCTCAATAGAGTGTCATGCCACAGTCACACAGCTCACAGCAACCTCCAACTCCTGGGCTTAGGTGATTCTCTTGCCTCAGCCTCCCGAGTAGCTGGGACTACAGGTGCCTGCCACAATGCCCAGCTATTTTTTGTTGCAGTTTGGCCAGGGCCAGGTTTGAACCCACCACCCTCAGTATATGGGGCTGGAGCCCTACTCACTGAGCCACAGGCGCCGCCCTACTTCAAAGTGTTTTTTCATTTTCCCCAAGATTTGTTCTCTGACCCATGTGTTATTTATTTATTTATTTATTTGAGACACTCTCATTATGTTGCCCTTGGTAGAGTGTGGTGGCGTACAGCTTATAGCAACCTCTAACTCCTGGGCTTAAGTGATTCTCTTGCCTCAGCCTCCCAAGTAGCTGCAACTACAGGCACCTGCCACAACACCCGGCTATTTTTTGTTGCAGTTGTCATTGTTGATTTAGCTGGCTTGGGCTGGGTTGGAACCTGCCAGTCTCAGTGTAGGTGGCCGATGCCCTACCCACTGAGCTATGGGGGCTGCCAGCCTCGTGTGTTATTTAGAAATGTGTTGTTTAATCTTCAAATATTTGTGGATTATTCAGCTATATTTCTGTAACTGATTCTATTTTTTTAATTTTTTTCTTAAGTCACGTATACATAGATCATGAATACATTTATGCCTTTGTGGGATTTAATGTGTTGATTATTTGTACAAATTGGAGTACTCACATCCTGCTAATTAACATAGCTTAATCATTTAAGTAAATTAACATTTACTTAAGTAAACATCAAGTAAATTAACATTTACTTAATCACAGTGTTAAGACATTTGTGTTCAATTCTAGTTTAGATCTGAGAGTAGACTTTGTATACTTTTTATACAAAAATTGTATAATTTTTATACAAAAATTTGTATAATTTTTGTTCTTTTAAATTTATTATGATGTGTCTTATGGTCCAGAATATGGTATATCTTGGTGAATGGTCCCTGTGAGCTTAAGAAGAATGTATATTCTGTTGTTGGATAAAATAGTCTACATATGTTGATTATATACAAGTAATTAATGGTACTACCACTGACTTCAACTCTGTCCTTATTGATTTTCTGTCTGCTAGATCTTTCTGATAGAGGGGTGCTGAAGTTTCCAACTATGACAGTAGATGTATCTACTTCTCCTGCTTTGGCCTCCCAGAGGGCTAGGATTACAGGTGTGGCCAACATTCCTGGCCACCTTCTATTTCTTTAACTGAACATTTTATATGATTCTCTTTTCTCTCCTGTATTAGTTAGACTACTTTTAAAACTTTTTTTGTAGTGGTTACCCTAGAATTTGCAATACACATTTACAACTAGTCCAAGTTCACTTTCACTAACACTAGACTTCTTTCACAGGTCATGTGAGTGCAGTCAGTTCTCCAGATCTTTGGGTTCTACATTTCTGGATTCAATCAACAATGGATTGAAAATATTCAGGAAAAAAATACGATTAAAAAAATAAAAATAATGCAAATTTTAAAAATACAGAATAACAACTATTTACATATAATTTACATTGTATTAGGGATTATAAATAATCTGGAGATGACTTAAAGTACATGGGAGGATATGTGTAGGTTATATGCAAATGCTATACCACTTTATATCAGAGACTTGAGTACCTGCTGACTTTGGTATCCCCAGAGCGTCCTGGAACCAATTTCTCAATATACTAAGAAATGACTATACCTTCTAACAATAAAATAATTTTAATTCTTCCCTCTCATCCCTTGTATCACTGCTGATGTTCATTTTGCTTATACACAAATAAGCATAAATAAAATGCATTGCTGCTGTTATTATTCATTATCCAAGCAGAAGAAAAATAAAGTGTTTATTCCTCCTCTGCTGCTCTTTCTTTACGTACACTTGAGCTTCTGGTTTTTATCATTTTTTTCTTTTCCAAAGAAATTTTAACATTTCCAAGGTAGGTCTACAGGCAACAAATTCTCCCCACTTTTTGTTTGTCTGAGAAAGTCTTTATTTCTCTTTCACTTTTCTATTTCCATAAGCATACAATCCATGTTTGAAATTCTTCATCTGTCATTTTGATCTTTTAATTTACATTGGTAGCCAATGGTAAGGAGTTGGTGTTTTCTTTAGGGGGTGATCTTTCACTTTGATTTGTCATATTTCTGGAGTTTTTCCTGGAAAAATATGGAATGCTTCATGAATTTGCATGTCATCCTTACACAGGGGCCATGCTAATCTTCTCTGTTCGTTCCAATTAATATATGTTGTTGAAGTGAGCACTCTTCTCCACTTTTGAAGGTTAATTTCCCAGGGTAAAGAAATCTTGGTTAGTGTTTCTTTATTTTCCTCTCAACACTCTAAATATTTCACTCCGTTCTCTTTTTGCCTGCTTAGTTTTTGAGAAGTCAGATATAATTCTTACCCTTGTTCCTCTATAGGTAAAGTGTTCTTTCCCCTCTGGCTTCTTTGGTTTTTTTTCCTGTATTTTTATTTTCTTATTTTTTATTTTTTATTAAGTCATATACACATAGATCATAAATAAATTTATGCATATGTGGGGTACAATGTATTGATTTTTTTATACAATTTGGAGCGCTTACATCAAACTAATTAATATAGTTCTTGCTTCATTTACTTGATTATTGTGTTAAGACATTTATGTTCTATACTTGATAGATTTGACTTGTACCCTTGCACTCTGCTCCATAGGTGTGGTCCCACCATTTACTCTTCCTCTATCAAACCTCCCTCACTCCTCGCTTCCCACTCCATTTCTTTCCTTCATCCTGGCTATAGATATGATCTAACTTTCATAAGAAAGTGTGAGTAAATATAAATTGGTTTCATAGAAGTACTGAGTACATTGGATACTTTTTTCTTCCATTCTTGAGATACTTTACTTAGGAGAATATGTTCTAGGTCTAGCCATGTAAACATAAAAGAGGTAAAGTCTCCATCTTTTTAAAGGCTGCATAGTATTCCATGGTATACATATACCATAATTTCTTAGTCCATTCAGGGGTCGATGGGCACTCAGGCCAGGCAAGGTTGCCCACTGTCTCCACTGCTTTTTAACATTGTAATGGAAGTCTTAGCCAATGCAATCAGGCAAGAGAAGGCAATCAAGGATATCCATATAGGGTAAGAGGAGATCAAACTTTCACTCTTTGCAGATGAATTGATTGCATACCTGGAAAACCCCAGGGACTCGACTACAAAACTCTTAGAATGATCAAGGAATACAGCAGCATCTCAGGCTACAAAATCAATACTCACAAATCAGTAGCATTCGTATATACCAAAAATAGTCAAGCTGAAAAAAACAGTCAAGGACTATTCCCTTTACAGTAGTGCCAAAGCAAATGAAATATCTGGGAGTATACCTAATATAGGATGTGAAAGATCTCTATAAAAAGAACTATGAAATTCTGAGAAAAGAAATAGCTGAAGATGTTGACAAATGGAAAAACATACCATGCTCATGGCTGGGAAGAATCAACATTGTTAAAATGTCCATTCTACCCAAAGCAATCTACAGATTTAATGCAATCCCTATTAAAGCACCTCTCATACTTTAAAAATCTGGAAAAATAGTACTTCATTTTATATGGAAACAGAAAAAACCTCGAATAGCTAAGACATTACTCAGAAATAAAAACAAATCAGGTAGAATCACGCTACCAGACTTTAGACTATATTATAAATCTACAGTGATCAAAACAACATGGTATTGGCACAAAAATAGAGAGGAAGATATATGGAACAGAATTGAGAACCAAGAGATGAATCCAGACACTTATCATCATTTGATCTTTGATACGCCTGTCAAAAATATAAATTGGGGGAAAGACTCCCTATTTAACAAATGGTGCTGGATGAACTGGCTGGCGACTTGTAGAAGACTGAAACTGGACCCACACCTTTCGCCTCTAACAAAAATTGACTCTCACTGGATAAAAGACTTAAACTTAAGACATGAAACCATAAAGATTCTTGGAGAAAGTGTAGGGGAAAAACTTGAAGAAATTGGCCTGGGAGAAAACTTTACAAGGAGGACCCCCAGGCAATTGAAGCAATAACAAAAATACATTACTGGGATCTGATCAAACTAAAAAGCTTCTGCACTGTCAAAAACACAGTAAGTAAAGAAAGTAGACAGCCCTCAGAACAGGAGAGGATATTTGCAGGTTACATTTCTGACAAAGGTCTGATAACCAGAATCCACAGAGAACTGAAACTTATTAATAAGAAAAGAACAAGTGATCCCATTTCACTATAGGCAAAGAGAGACTTGAATGGAAGCTTCTCTGAAGAAGACAGGTGTATGGTATACAGGCATATGAAAAATGCTCATCATCTTTAATCATCAGAGAAATGCAAATCAAAACCACTTTGAGATACCATCTAACTCCAGTAACAGTAGCCCACATAACAAAATCCTAAAACTACAGATGTTGGCATAGATGTGGAGAAAAGGGAACATTTCTGCACTACTGGTGGGAATGCAAGCTAATACGTTCCTTTTGGAAAGAAGTTTGGAGAACACTCAGGGATCTAAAAATAGACCTGCCTCTCTGCCATCTTTAAGGATTTTTTCTTTATCTTTGATTTTCTGTAGTTTGAAATGAGTATGCAGAAGTTAGGGGATTTTTTGCCTTTTGCTCGGTGTATTCTGACCTTCTGGATCTGTGGTTTGGTGTCTGACATAATTGAGGAAATTCTCAGCCATTATTGTTTCAAATATTTCTTTTGTTCCTGTCTTTCTTCTCCTTCTGGAATTCCCACTGTATGTGTCTTACCCCATTCATTATTGTCCCATAGTTCTTGGATACTCTGTTCTGTTTTTTCAGTCTATTTTCTCTTTGTTTTTTGGTTTGGGCAGTTTCTACTCAGTGTTCTCAAGCCCAGAAATTCTGCCCTCAGTCATGTCCAACCTACTAATAAGCCCATCTTAGGCATTCTGCATTTATTATTATTTTTTTAAAGACAGGGTCTCACTTGGTCACCCTTGGTAGAGTTCTGTGGTGTCACAGCTCACAGCAACCTCCAGCTCTTGGGCTTAGGCAATTCTCTTACCTCAGCCTCCTGAGTAGCTGGGAGTACAGGTGCCTGCCACAACGCCCAGCTATTTTTTTGTTGCAGTTTGGCTGGGGCTGGGTTCAAACCCACCACCCTTGGTATATGGGGCCAGTGTCCTATTCACTGAGCCACAGGGACCACCCACATTCTGCATTTCTGTTACAGTGTTTTTGATCTCTACCATTTCTTTTTGGTTCCTCTTAGAACTTCCTTCTCTCTGCTTATATTGCCCATCTGTTCTTGAAGATTGTCTACTTCACCCGTGAGAGCCCTTAGCATCTTAATCATAGTTGTTTAAAATTCTTGGTCTGATACTTCTAAAATCTCTACCACATGTGAGCCTATTCCAGCACTTCCACCCTGTTCCAGACTTTTTTTTTTTTTTTTTTTTTTTTTTTTGATGGCCAAACATGATGTACTGGGTAAAAGGAACTGCTGTAAATAGGCCTCTGGTAATGTGGTGGGCAGGTGTCAGGGTGGGAGTTCTTTAGTCCCTTGAGTAGGTCTCAGTTTTTCAATGAGCTTGTGTCTCTGGACTGTGAACTTCACAAGTGATTCTCAGTCTCTTCCCCCCGCCCTTCAGTAGGGCAGGATGGCTAGAATGGGCTGAGTTGGGTACTTCCCTTTTCCTAGGTGGGTTAGGCTCTGATAAAACCTCAGCAGGTTAGGAGCTGGTTTCAAAGTTTCTCCTGAGGGCAGGTGTTGGTTTTTCTTTTCTTTTCTTTTTTTCTTTTTTTTGGGGGGGAGACAGAATTTTACTTTGTTGCCCTGGGTGGAGTACATGGCATCATAGCTCATAGCAACCTCAAATTTTTAGGCTCAAGCGATCCTCTTGCTTCACCCTCCCAAGTAGCTGAGACTACAGGCACCTGCCACAACACCTGGCTGTTCTTTTGAGACGGGGGTCTCACTTTTGCTCAGGCTGGTCTTGAACTCCTGAGCTCAGACAATCCACCCGCCTCAGTCTCCCAGAGTGCTGGGATTACAGGCGGGAATCACGCCACCTGGCCAGTGACAGTCCTTGTTAAGAATGGAGTGCTCTAGCAGATTTCCAAACAGTTCCTCTTCCCCTCCCAGTGTGGGAAGCACAAAGGGATCTTTCTCCGATATTCTCTGTGAGAACCTGGCAAAACTCACAAAAATGTGCGGCCACCTGATGATGAGGTAGCCCTGGAGTTTTTTTTTTTTTTTTTTTTTTTTTTGAGACAGAGCCTCAAGCTGTCCCCCTGGGTAGAGTGCCATGGCATTACAGCTCACAGCAACCTCCAACTCCTGGGCTCAAGCGAGTCTCTTGCCTCTGCCTCCCAAGTAGCTGGGACCACAGGCGCCCGCCACAACGCCCGGCTACTTTTTTTTTTTTGGTTGCAGCCATCATTGTTGTTTGGCGGGTCCGGGCTGGGGATTCGAACCCACCACCTTAGGTGTACGTGGCTGGCGCCTTAGCCGGTTGAGCTATAGGCGCCGAGCCAGCCCTGGAGTTTTTAACTCTTAGGCTGTCCTCATTGAGCCTCTAGCAATTTAATAGTTATCCTTTAGGTTTCTCTATATTGCTACTGGTTCCCATGGAAATCTGTGTTTATGGGTCTTTTCTATGGCAAGGCTCAGTTCTCTGCATTTGACTGTTAGTCTTTCCAATTTGTGGGCAATGGTTTGTCCTGAGATTCCCACCTTTGGTGGATCTAAGAAGAGTCGTTGATTCTTCATTTTGTTTAGCTTTTGTTGTTAGGACAGAGTGGTGACTTCAGTTTCTCACATGCCAGCCTGGATTGAACCCAGGTTTTCTAACCCTAAGACTCATGCCACAGGGGAAGGGGGAAGGTAGGGACAGAGGAGAGACAATTAATTCGCTATGAGTGCACAGTGTCCCAGGCACCGTCATACATAGTTTCAGGTAACCACCACTGTGATTACAAGTACATTTCATAGTAGAGAAATCCCAGGCTAAGACAGAGGCCTGAACAGCATTGCAAGATCTCACAAGTGATGAAAGCAGGGGGGGTGGGATTTTAATTCGGGTCCATTGGGTTCCAAAACCTTTCCTCTTGGTCTTTCCACATCAGGCTGTCCCTGTGAGGTTGGTCCAGCTGACTCAGTATTTGTTGAACACTTGCTACGTGTCCTGCTCTCTGCTGGTATGGGGACTACAGATGTTGTATCAAACACAAACCCTACACTCAGAAGTTACCAGCCCAGCTGGGGAC